ACCCCGCACCCCTGCGGCAAAAGGATGCGGTCGAGGAGCCTGGTTAGCCGGGGTCGGAGACTTTAAAGGCAGTAACTTTGTGTTTCGGTCACATACTAAATTACAACGCCCCCTCCCCGAAGTGACTGAGTGTGCTTAGGGGGCTTCAGTGGCGAAGCGGTGAGCGCAGGCAGGCAGCCCAGCTCGGCGGCAGGGGTGCCCGGCAGGAAGGAAAACGGGAGAGCGTTTGCCCGGGAATCAGACGGGCCGGGACGGGGGAGTTCCAAGTCACCTTTATTTATGCGGCGTTGCTGAAGCGGATCCTGAATCCCAACGGCTGTCACCAAAACCCGGCCTCGGTGAGGGCTCCCTGTCTCAGCCGGCTTTCTCAGGAAAGAGGAGTTTGGGCTGTAACCCTATTGAAATGGCTGTAACTACGGAGCCACTAATCTAATTTGGAAAATTTCCCTTTCTCCCCTAGGCTTAGTTTTGCACGAGCATTTTAAGCTCCTTTTAGAAAAGTTAATGTGGTGGAGAAATTAAATGCCTATCTTATTTAGGAAGGTATTTGTTTAGGAGATAAGCTCAACCCTGACCCCTCTTCCTCCAAACAAAACACAAACACCTATTTTTTAGCTGGAAAATGTTAATTAATTTTCCAGAAAATGATTGCATTCTACCCTCATCTTCCAAATACTCCAGTGGTTGCCATTGCTACACACGAACTATGATACAATCCACAGCTTCCCTAGCTCAGCAGCTCTGATATCTTTGGGTAGCTTGCTCCTTTCGAGGAAACTTGAAAATAAATGAGTGTCTTTTGTTATTTTGTTGTGGTCTGTGTCTGCTTTGTTCGACCCCACAAGGGATTTAAATGCTTTGTTGGGGCATTAGGAAGAAAGGGTCTGCCTTCCTATTTGCTCTGGTTTTATTTTTACTATTGGTTTATATTTTTCTCTGAATCCAAGAGCTGAATCTAGGCAAAACAATGACAGTGGTTAGTAAGAATAAAAAAGTCAGTTTGTACAAACACATGGAATTTCTTGATATTTATTTATTTTTCTCTCCCATGTCCTTGTTTTTATTTTAAATGATAACTTTTTGTTTTTTTGGGGTTTTTTTGTTTTGCTAGTAACGTGGGTTGGAGGTTTTCCTTGAGATGGTGCAAGGCAGTGGTGTGATTTTTGGCTTGAATGCAGTTTGTTGTAGCTACTTGTTCTCCAGCCTGCTAGGCTGTGTGTCTGCCTTTGCTTCTCCCAGCAGTATTATTCTTCGTATTTGTTGACTTTGTGTCTTGGATGAGAGTGTCCTTAAAAAAATGTCTGTGGTTTATTTATTTGCTTACCTAGAGCCAGAACAGTTTTAATGGGGATGCCTGTGAGAAATGCAGGTTTCTCTACTACAGAAATATTTATTTAGTAACTTTAGTTAATTGGACTATTCATTGCACTTATTTTGAGACTAGTAGCAATGAAGTTTCTGTAAGTTTAATGGTTTTGTAAATGGGTGATTTCTGTGCTCTGATTTAGTAACTTTAAGTAGCAATACAGTATCCCAACTTGTCATAATTGCTGACTGAATACGGCAAGGAAAAAGTTGTAAAAGTAGAGGAAAGTACATCTGCAGGCATGGGAGCTCAGCCTCTGTTTCCCCTGTTTCTTTCAGTATGGGTTTTTATATCAGGGAAACGTCACTGATACAAGCTCGAGTCTCAGGTTCTTGTGCTCTCCCAGGAACAGGTACATAGACATCACTGTCTGAATCTTGGCGGAGTTAAACTACTTGTGTGTACCTGAATATAATACATGAAGTGTGTAGTGTATTGGCAGTGTGTAGTGCCTTTTGTAATGCTGAAGAGTCAAACAATGTTTTCCAGTTGTAGGTAGCATATGGATGCTGTATAAAAGTCATTTCTTCCCCTAAGAAAGGGGGACTAGCAGAACCACAGAAACAGGACGTGGCCACTGCAGGAATTCCTCTTCTCTCTGTGGCTCCAAATGGACCGTGGGGTTTTGTAGGCACAGCTCACCCAAATCGCTGCCATGTAACTGTCTCTCTAATCCCCACATCACTACTATTGTATCAGACCATTGCGTAAAGAGCAAAGGCCAGTTCTCTGTAATCTTCAGAGTGAAGCAACAAGGTGGTACTGGTCTGGTCGGTGTTAGCATAACAAACTTAGGTTTAGTTTTCAGTTTGCTTGTGCGTTATGCTGTGACTCCCACACCAAAACTATGCATTTTTCACCATCTTCTGAAGTGCCAAGAGCTGCATAAGATCTCTGTCTATCAGCTCCTGCAGTTTCTGATTGATTAAAAAAAAAAAGTACTCCGTGGAAAGTAAGAGTAACTCTCATAAGAAAATGCTGTGTTCACAGAACCATGCAAGAAAACAGCTTTTTTCCTAATTAGAAATGTATAGCTGAAAATGTGTAACGTATAAACTTAAACATACAGTTTAGACTACTTATTTGGCCAAAAGTAGTAGGCTGATTTGCAGTAATTTAGTTAGGATTATCTTTTGATTGTTAATATAGTATTCATTACAGCCTGGGTGTTTCAACCCAGACCTTAATTGACAAACTCTGAGTGGATTCTATTTTATGTGCATCAGTGAACAGGATAAATAGAGAGCAGCTGGGAGAGCATTGTCTGTCATTTGGTTTCCGGTTTGGACCTGAAATATGCATTCTCTTTATATTTCTCTTTCAGTGATAGTGGAATTCTTTGGTGAGAAAAGGGAAAGGGGGAGTGTTTTGAGAAAATGTGATGCGAAGTGCCAATGCCATTGCAATTGATTTTGGATTTTTTTTATTCATTATTCAAACAGATTTTACTTTTGAGTATGTGCAAAGAGAAGCTCTCAGAGTTCCCCTTATCTTCAGAAATAAGGACGGACTGGGAATTAAGTAAGTTACAACCACATCGTAATGATTAATAAATGCTTTTGTAAAATAACCGTTATGCTTTCCACTTGTGTATGATATTTCTTTTGATGATCTCAAAGTGTATTGCAATTATTAGGACTGTCAGCATCCTTGAGAAGAGGAATGATTGTTTTCCGCTTATAAAGAAGCAGATAATGAGGTCTGTAGAAGTTAAGTGCATACAGTGTGGTACTACACAATCAAAAATAAGTTGGTGATGAAAGTTAGGAATAAAATTCAAAGGTTCTTGCATCCAGTCCATTCTGTCTTGACAGAACAATCTCCCAATTTTCACTTCTCAATTGTTTTCTGCTTTACAGGTGGAATGTCTAATGATGCCTGCCATTTTCCATTATAATTGTATCTCTACAGAATGTTATAGCTTTGTAAATATTTAATAATGTCTAGTTAAAATGTGGTATTATTAGAGTCTTTCTGAGGCTGCATTTTGTTAATATCCAGTCGTAAAGGATTTGGTATTTTACTCAGTGAATCCTGCAAGTTTCTTTGTAAAAGTGACAGCATTTAAGAGAGAAATATTAAAATAATATACTTTATCAGCCACATAATCCATAGTTTAGATAAATGTTACTTAATGCTGTTGGAAATTACGATTGTGTAACTGATTGTATCTGAAAGATGGAAAATTCATTTTCCAAAAGCATAATTGCTTTGCTCAGTTTCAGCTGGAGCACCTCAAAGTTTAAGGAACTGCGGAGACCCAATTATTTAATTAAAAAAAATCAAGCCAGCCCAATATAAGTTAAGGAGAGAAAGAGAAGCAATAGTGTTTGGAGTATGCGACAAGCATATGTTCTTTTACTGCAAGAGTGAATAGGAGCTGCTGTGATGCTTCTCATGATGTAATAAAATAGTTTTGTACGTTGAACTCTGAATGGGAAGCACTTAATTGGTACTCAGTGTAATTACGGTAATGTTTATTTTGTTGTACCGTTATGTTGTACTGGAATATTTTTTTCTTTGGTTATTAAGACCAGCTATTTCTCTACTTAGTACTGGATGCACAGTCTAGTTTCTTGTTAAAAAAAATAATGCACACACTAAGATACCATCTTTTTATTTGTTTGTGCAAAGCCATTCCTGGATCGTATCCTAATTTTCTAAAGAAAACATACACGTATAGTGTAATGTTTTAGAAGACAGGTAGAAAACCTAGCTATTAAGTGAGAAAGGCTGGTCACTTCTTACAGCTTTTAGACAGTTCTATGCTTCGATTTGGTGTTGTAGAAAAATAACCTGATTTTTCTGTTGTATTACTTGAGAGAAGATGTGGTCAGGTGGAAAGCATTGATCCTTAAAGTTTTTGCAGGAAAGGGGATACAAAAATATCTGGTTTGATATTCCTGAAGTCTAAAACCTTCCATATAAATTCATATGAAAACCTGAGAAGCAGAGAAAAGTCTTCCATGCTATATTTATAGCTTAATTATTCTTCACCTGCGAAAGCCACCTCCTTAACCTTAGTTTATCTATTATGTGACTATAGGATCATCTTCCCTGATGAATCATTCTCTTGTTTATCTTCTCCACTGAGTTTCCTTAATGTAAAGTACCATTTGTTCTACATTCCCTCATGACAGTGTTGGCCAGCCTAGTTCCAAAAGAGCCAATGACATCTCCATTGGGTGCTTGTCCGAATGTGCAATTACACTGCATGTGTATATGTAACCATCACCTGAAGCTGAATAGTTTTTGTTTCAGCGGGGGCTTTATTATTTACAGGAAATTCCTGCTCACTTAAGTATTGAGCTCTCCACTTTACTCACCCAACTTTGGTATCCCAGTTCCTTGCTTTCTCTCAGCCTCCAAATAGGGGAGCTTTTCCTCCTAGGGTGGTTTTTCCTGCTGCGTTAGAGCCTGTGTTTTTCTGACCCTCCTTTTGGCTTCTCTGCTCAACTTGGCAGTAAGGTTCTTTTTGTTGAAGGTTGTTGCTACTTTTTTGTTCAATTTTTTTCTTCAAGACATCCTTCTCTTGGAGGAATCATCTAAAGGACGTATCTACTGTGGAAAATGATGGAAAATCATCTGAGACAACTGCTCTCTCCATATGCGTTGGTTTTAAACTGCCACTTCTAAAGGGCAAGTGATAAAACTTCAAGAATTTCTTCTGGAAGAAGACATCAGTTCTTCTCTTTAGAAAGCACACATAATACTGCATCTCTGCAAAGATGCTGTCTGCATCTTGAGATTGGCTTGAGAAAACTTGCGGACTTGAACGTGAGCAAAATGTGCACCTTTTTGAGCAGCTACCATCAATTCTAGCTGCCAGATCTTCCTCCTGTGTGTGAGGAAGTTCACAAATTCCCCGTAGTAAAAGAGGAAAGCTGGGAGATGTTTCAGCTCTTACTGTGGTAATGGTACATGTTCAGCTAGTACTCCATCAGCGGAGTGCGAGCTCATCCCACAGATACAAACATTACTGAGCTGCAAACGGCAGGGAATTATCAGAGGTAGATAACGAGTACCACAGCCCGGGACCAGAGTGTTTCCTCTGGCTGCCTGTAGCAGACAGTGGTGCCTCCAGAACTCAGGCTACTGGTGCGCTGCTTATGTCGGGCAAGATCATTCACAAAGATACTTGTGAAGATGCTTGTTTCTTGGTGTCTGTAACCACAAGATGTAATATCGTTTCCTTTGTAATTGCTCATTATTCAGGATTCTGTAATGAGGCAATTTCACCTCAGACATTTCGACACTGGAGTCTCAGCTCACACATCATCATTGGCTTCCCTGTTGTTCCTGTGCCCGAAATCTGGAGAGCTGCCACCTGGCACTCCACTCCACTCTGTTAGCTGTGTGCTTTTGCTGAAGCCCCTGGTGTGATACTGCCTTCGGAGAGTAGGCTTTGGTCTTTCCTGATCCAGGAGTTCAGAGACTCCTCATGCTAATGGGGTCGTGTAGAGAGTAATCTGTTTTTTTGTGTCATGTGTTGCCTTGTTTTTCTTGAAGGTGTACTGTTTTTAGATGCATTTGCAGTCAGCCTTCCTATTCCTCCTCCTTCCTGGAAGCCACCAGTAATGTTTGCTAAGACGTTGAAGAAGGGAGAGCTTTGGCTGTGTACCTGCCCTTCGTGTGCTTACACGCCACGTGTACAGACAGGCCAGGTTATCGATGTACTTCGGTGTTTTACTGAGGAAAAAAAAGACCTGGCCTCAAATGCTTATGTGTATGCACACATACACGCTGTGAATCCACGTATAGATGACCACGCCTCAAAGATGACCACTGAAAATCAGGTACCTTTCTTTGTAAGCATTATCAAAGCAGTGAAATAAATAGCAGTTTTGGAACGCGGATTGGAAGTGAAGAAGTAGCAGGACTGAATGCTGTATGCCTTCATTTTCCGTTGGAGTTCTGCAGCTCTGGCAGTTAGGATAATGCATCTTTTGAATTCTGAACTGGATTGCGAAGAGGTAGAAGAGGACTAAATGCTTATCCACAGCAAGAGTTTTGGAGTCACTTGCCTGACTGTCACATAACTAATTCTTTGGATAGTGAAGGAGAAATTGTGTTTCAGTTCGCTGTAATGAGCTTAGAATAGTCTCAGCAGCCAGGCTGGACTAGCCAGCTTCTCCGTCACCTGCTGACTGCTGGTATCATTCTAATACTATTCTGACATCTTTCCTCCTTTCTAGTCTAGGGCTGTTTGCCTTTCTCCCTTTTGTGACCCATCCACACATTATATGCAAATTTTTCCTTTAGCTGGAATTCACTGCCAGCTTTTTCTTTTCTTCTTAAGGATATTTTTGATTAATTAGTATGCTGACAGAAGTAAGAGCAAATTTTATCTGATATTTGAGCTTTGTAAGGTTTCTGTATGGAATCAATTGATTTCTCCATTTCACAGTTAGGTGGGTGAATTGTTTTTATATTTCCATTCTCTGCTGAAACATTGAATACTCAATGCTCTGGGGGATTAAAATACTAGAATTTGTAGATCAGTAATCTCTTATAGGACATTCAACATTCTAATATTTTTTATTTCAATGAGCATGACTTATTAGTTGAAATGATGTTGTAAAGGAATTGTGCACACTTAGGCATAAATGTCACTAGAGTGAGAGAAGGTTGGAAACACGATTTATGTGTATTTTAAATGACGCCAGTGAAATGCATGAGCAAACTTTCTTATTTGGCACTCTGCAGGACAACACGAGTTAATTTTATTTACATTTCCATGCCTTACGTGTATCTGTCAAAAGTAGCTGGCATGCAAGATGAGAGTTTCGTGGAAGTGTAGATATATACATGCTGTGTGCATTGTATTCCAGCAAGATCAACATAGTATTGACGCCTGCCTAACTGATCCGAAACATCGAGAACCTTTAGTCTCATCATCCTGCCATTTACTGCTTCAGATAATGAGTGTCATAGTCTGCTGTCTTCCATCGCTAGAGCGAGATGGGACAGTTTGCCTTTGGATCCGAGTCATTTGCTGATGAAACTCAGGAACCTCACCTTCCACTCCAGGCTCTGGAGGAAATTAATGCTTTACTGGGTCTTTTCTAGCATCACCGTCTTGTCCAAAGGAGGCTGTGTGTATCCTGATATGGTAGATTAGGTCATCCACATATATGTAGGGTGACTTTTGAGATACAGTAGTCTATAAAATATGTGAGACAAGATCATGTTTAGAGTTCTGACATTTTGAATAACTGATGATATGTGCTTCCACTTCTGTTTGCTGTTAAGCAGTCAGCTTGCATGTCTGTGCCTGGCAGACGTACAAAGCATAGCTGAACAGTTTGGTTAATGTGCTTGGAGGTACTCTGAAATGGCAAGGAATTAGATGAATGAGAAAAAATTATTATAATGAAACTTTGGAAATTGCTTTCTTGTATATATCTGACCATCGTGAGCTGTTACTTGTGTGGCTGGAAGGAGGAGAGTCCACCTACGATCTCTTACCAGAAGAGGAGTTGTTTTTCTCTGAGGGTTGTTTGGCTGTTTCCAGGATTGTAACTTGGAGATCGAATGCTGTTTGCAGAGATGTTGCCTCTTTTATCTGAACAGTGGTCATCTTGCATTGTACTGTGGTTAATCAGATATGGATGCTAGCCAGAGCTCCTCCTCGTTAGGACTTGAATAGGAGACTTCTCTAGCAAATCTTTAAACATTTACTAGAATGCAAGTTTGCACCAGTGTTTGCATTTCTTTTCTGTTTGAGGGAACATGATTTGTATATAACAGGATGCTGAAAATCTCAAATGTAGTCAGTTGTGTTGTGGTGTTAAGTCACCCTGCTATACTATTCTTCTCCTGTTTTTCATGGTGTGTGAAATTTTTGGAAGCATTCATAGTGTTTTTATGCAAGATGCATTTGCCTGAAAAATTGCATAACAGTGAGGGGAAAAAAATCTCTGCTCAGTTCTTGCATTGTCAGTGTTCTGGATTTATACACAGAAGAACAAATGAACCAACACTTACTGATTAGTTTAGGACTGCTGACATCCAAGAAAACAATTCTTTTTTTGGCTATCATACTGCTGCAGCAAACCAGCCTAATTGTTAAAGTGTGAGTGTGCTGGATAGGACTGGAGACAAAGAAGTGCAGTCATTTATGGTCTCAGCAGCCAGCAGAATAGGTTTGAATTAAAGCTGGACCTCCCAAGGCAACGCAACTACAAAATGGGCTCTTGTACTTGAAACCTGCTGTGTTCAAGCCTGAAATTCCTCCCGTGGTGTACTCTTTCGCTAATGTATGATACGTCCTGAGATTGCAGAGAAAAAAACACAGATATGCCAGGTGTGCTCTCCAAAGAGCTAAACATGCAATTTTATCGTTAGGGAGGATTGTATTCTTCCAAACTGAGTAATGTTTATTGTCAGCTGCTGCTGGAGCTCTCAGGAAGACCGGATTTGCTTGTATGCACCTGGGTTAGGGTTGTTACCAATCGTGGTTGTTGATTTTTATTTTGATCTATACAAATGTGAAAAAGATTGCCCACCTAATTGTTCTGCATGTCTGACATAAAATACAGGCAAGCTGTGGCACTTGAAGATAAGCCTTGCACGCTCTTGTTGCCCACAAATAGTTCCTCCTTCCCCTACTTCTGACTTTCTAGTGCTTCGAAAAAAAGATGAGCTCTGAATGAACCCTGAAGGTCAGTAGATTCAGGCTGTTTCATTCTGGCGAGGGAGTGCATTCCAAAGCTGTGGGGCCCTTGCAGCTAAATGCAAAGATGTGAGGGTTGGCGGAGACCTAACAAAAGATGTTGTCCAGCCTCCGCATCCCACCAGCGGAAGGTGATAAGGGTAAAAGAAAGTGGGCAAAAAGAATTTGGCAAATAGTTCTCAAGATACATGCATGATGGTAAACGCATTTTTTAACTTTACCTTTCAGTGTTTTCTGAATAATAAAAACTATTGCTCTAAAAGTTTGTCTGTTCAGAATAGTTGCCTGTTCTGATTTCTAAATGAATTATGTCAAAAGTGCTTTTTGACCAGACGCAAGTTGTTTCTTTTCCACCCGTGGCAGTAAGAGAGGGACCGAGCACCTAGCTGGCAGTTCCCTCAGGGCTGTTTTGCATTGCAATTCCTTAGTCAGTTTTCGTGCGATGTAAAGTGTGAAATACTGTCGTTAAGGTGAAGTCAATCAGCTTTAAACCCCACTGTTGTTATTGTTTTCTTTTTCCGTCCAGTAATTATGTTGCAGAATTTTACTCTCTACCTGGCATGTAAAACTCACTCACTTGATGTACAAGGCTATTGTCTAATTACATTCAAGCCTAAAACACTGCCTGTGTTAGAAGTGATCTTATAAATGAATCAGCATTGGTGAACCAATTATGCTACCATTTAATTTAGCTCTGAATTAGCCCGAATTGAATTGAACAACAATTTCCCTACCCACCAAATACAGCCAGGCTGTCTTCTGCCAGACAAGGAGGTTTGGAATAGTCGTTAAAATGAAGGGGCTTTAATTCATTACTTTTGCTATTTCATTTCCAGGCAGTGAATCTAGCCTATGATGTTGTGACTTTGACCAAATCGGTTTAGCGCTGTGTGCCTCAGTTTGTATCCGCTGGCAAATGTGATAATGCTCACCTTGGGGAATATACGTGAGGCATCACCAGTTGCAAACCACTGCAAGTTGCTTAGCAGGAACAAGCTATAAAGCTTTAGGATTTTATCGAAATCACCCCCAACCCCTTCCCTTCCCTCCCACTCTAGTGCTGCGAGAGAGTGCTTGGAAAGACACCTCTTCTCTTTCGTTACGAGCAGAGCAACTTTTGTACGCTTGCCAATGCAAGGATGCTATGTATGTCATTAAAACTGGCACTGTCCACGCTTCAGAGAGGCCTCACTCGATTCCACCTACTGCATTACGGACAAAGAGCACTATACATTTATTTCTCTTTTATTATGGTACCGAAAGTGTACCCATACTTATCTTGACGGTATTTAACATTGATTTCTTTGCTAATTGTAGAATGCCTGACCCGGATTTCACCGTCAGAGATGTGAAGCTATTAGTGGGTAAGTTATTTTGAATGCACTGGATTAACTCTATACAGAAGAGAATTGCTTTGAAATACTTGTCCAGTTGTGTTTGTAGACATTTGTGATAACTCTCAGAATCTGGGAGAAGGCATGGAGAAGCAATTTGTAAATTAAAAAGGCTGGGAGAACCCTAATTAGTGGTTGTGCTGACCGGGCTCTGATCTCATGCTGGATAATTGGCCATTTGAAAGAGAGGGAATGCTTTTGCTCTTAACAGGTGTCCTACATACACTTTTGTGATCCTGGAAAGCGGCAGCTCTATTGATCGAGTTCCTATTTGTTTTATCTGTTGTAGAGCAGCTGTTTGCAAAAGGTATGATTGGAGCCGTGTCACCTTTTGCCTGTGCTCTCCCCATAGTCTTTATCAGTGTCAGGCCAGGTCAGTGCTTTGAGGAAAGGTTGCTAAGAGAGACTGAGCGCAAAGCTTTACAAACTGCCTGTCTTTTTGATAAGACACAAACCAGAGAAGCAGTGACTCTAATCATCAAATGTTTCCTAGCAATTTTTGGAAAAGAAATTTTTTTAACTCTAAGAAAAGCTACGTTTTGAGTACTGTGTATGCTGTGTGTTTCTTTGAAATCTGCTTTGACTGAAGATGGATGTGTTATTTATCGTTTAGCTGAAATTGTTACTGAATAGTGATACTGCACTCTGTGAAGTTGTTGCTGTGAAGCTAGCTGAGCTTTGGATGTCTTAGCTACAGTCCTTCAAAGGGATGTTGAACTGCATTCTTGCTATCTAGAATTTATTGGTTTTATTTACCTCTGCTGTGTGAGGGGTTAATCTTTTAAATTAGACAAATTGCTGCATTCTGAAAGAAGAATTTTTGAAAATTACTCTTGAGTTGAGTAATCAATAGGAACATTAAGTCTGGAAAAGATGTCGTTAAGAAAAACAAGGGAGAGGAACTTGTGCCTCATTTCTTTTCAGCTGGGGTTATCAGTGAAAGAGGGGTTATCTCTGATAACCTTCCTTCACAAACAAAACTTGGCGCTGTTGCTTAATTTATGACCATTTATAAGTTCTAAAAAAAAAGCACCAAACCACTTAGGCAGAAAATGTTAGAGAGGTGGTGTGGGAAGTGCTGTTTGGTAGCATTTCTGTTGGTCAGTCTGCAGTTAAATTAGGAAATAATATGAGGGTATTTGGAAGGCCTGCATTTTATGGATTTCCTAAATGCCTGCATGCACGCATTTGTAGGTACGGAATCCCTCTTTTTGCTGTGGAGAAGCCTCGTGCACAAGCCTTGCAATTATCTGGACTCTGCAATTTTCTGTGAATTTGTGCTGTAGTTGATAAACTGCCATTTCTGTCTCTGAAACTGCTGAAGTTGAGGGCCTGACTTTGAGATGTTTTGGAACAGCGTATGGTTGCATAACAACATTGTTTTTCCTGTATAACAGTCAAAGTGTGGGAGTTGCATTTCCTCAGGATTAATGTCCCTTCAAGTATTAGCGGGGTGGAGATTCCTGTGTACATGACCAGCAACGTGGGAGGATATTTATAAATAAAATTAGATTTATTAAACAATGGAGCAGAAATAACGATCATAATTAACTTTGAGATTAACTTTAATATAAAAGTGTAAAAGTTTCTCACAGCTGGTTCAGCAATCCGTTTAGATGCTCTAGGCCTGATACTGCACGTCATGGGTCTTTTTTTATTGTATTTGGACAAACTCCCTTTGGAGTCATTGTACTGAGCCTCTAATTTGGTCAAGGGTATTGTCACCTGCTGTCTTTTTTTTAATACGGTTGATGACTTCTGGCATCACAGGTGGAAACTTTGATTCAAAAGATCTAGAATATTTGGGAAATGGGACTGTAAGTTATACGTGGAAAATCCTGGTTTTTATGGCAAATCATTTCTGTCGCTGTGGAATTTGTGCTGTATGTAACGGCCACATTGACACAGAGAGCACAGGGGGGCAATTTCTGTCTCCATGCCAAATCTCTAAATTATCTACTAATGACTTCAGGAAGCACCGGTGAGCGCTTTTCTTATTGCATATCATTGCTGATAACTTCTTCTAGTTTGAGGTTAATGTATATCTCACACTCACAATCTAATGTTCAAATAAAGCAGATGAAAAGTCTTGGTTTATTAATATCTCCTGTGATTGTCCCTGCATTTTTTAGCAAATGCCTCAGATCTTGCGTGAACCTCCAGGTATCTGCGTTTCTGAAGCTCAGTGTTTTCAAAACTTGTTCAACGCTTTGCTGAACCTGGGAGGGGAATGATGTTTTGCGAATGTGAGATGGAGTCATCATAACTCTCTGCATCTGAATGTGTGTGGGAGTTGACACAGAGAGAACATAGCTCGAAAAATGTTGTGTTCTGTGTAAACTTGTTTTTTTCAGTGCTCATCATTATAGTATACTGGTGCTATTTAAACCTATCATTTGTTCTCTTTGCTTCTTCGAATCGGGGAAACACATTTGTTGCAGAACATTTTAAAGTGATGGTGCTGGGTTTGTTCAAAGCACATAAATTGCACAGGAAGTTGCTGAGCCTTTGGTCTCAATTTCTTCTGAAATCTTACTTTCTATTTCTAACGTGATTGTTGTATCACCTCCATATTTGGGTACTTATAAGTCACAAGGAAATAACAACAACTGGTAGCCTAGCTTTTTAAATTTCCCCTTGAAAAGTCTGGTCTGTGGCAGTAATAAGGAGAATAAAATAGATGTGTTTTTCGATCATCGTTTGTGGTTACTTGGGCTTAGGTGTCTATTTTTTTAATGTTTCGCCAGACTTCCAGAGAAACATTGCCATCTCTTGTTGGATTTTTTTGTTGTCATTGTTTAAAAAATGCAGATGCCAGCTGCAATTTAGTTTGTAATGTTTGTGACCTTCACATTGGTGAGCACGAGTGTTCACCTATGTGTAATGTGTGTGGGTGAAACACTCTTCCCGTACAGTAGCTTTACTTTAAAGAACAAACACTTTAAACTGCATGGTTGGAATAGTGGTTATAACTAGACTCCTACCTCAATATGAAAGATATCCTGGATATTCTTTAAACTTGAGACAGTGGATTAATTTCAGCAGTTGGAATTTGTCTGATCTCTGAAATGGCTGTGAGGCAAGAATACAAATGGAGAAGAAGAGAGGAATTACTGGCCTGCTTAGGAACTTGAGACAACTCTTGAAAGAAGAAAAACTCTGTTGTAATTTAATAACTATTAAGCTTTCCAATTTCATTGTCTAAGGTAGATTCGATTGCTCATCTGAAAGACACAATGTCACTGCCGTCTCCTCATAAGCCAATCTAAAATTTGACAAAGAGGGTCATTGGCCCTCTTGACATCTCCTTAAACGTCTGTCACATCTGCACTAAAAGTTTGAGTGTTGTTTCTGCAGGCTCCTTATTTTTCACTCTTGGCATGCCATGCTGGTCTGTCGGTGGTGTTAGTATGTGCGTATGGACTAGTTAAAACACAAGGGCACAGCAGTGGCTAAGAACTATTAGGGCTTGGTTTTATTCTAAAACTTTTTTGCACATTTGCAATTGTTGTCTTAAGATTTGCATAGTATCTTGGTTTATGTCCTTTTTTCCTTCCTTTCATGTTCATCCACTCCCTTGTTTTCAGGGCTCCCAGAGGTTCAGAGAACTTACCCCGCTGTCCATTTCTTCCTCTCTGCAGTTAACTAGAGCTGGTCTTCCAGCCCGTAAACAGTATATCTCAATGATACTCCCAGACAGGGCTACTGGTGAGACTCTCAGACTCTGTTCTTTTTCCCTGGCTGCTAGTCATATAAATCACTAAGCTCTCTAGAATCTCTGCAAAAGTGTCTTTAAAAAACAAAAAAAGGGGTCAAGTTAGCTGAGGAACTGATTATGAGGAGTAACAGGTATGTGAAGTGGTAAGCGTGGGGACAGCACTATAGCTTTTAGTAATTTTTCCTCAGACTGTGTGATTCTAAGTGACTTATTGCTCCTCGTGCCCAGAAGAGGCAGCTATACAGAATAATTGATGTTTTCCAGGCCTCTCGTGTTGGCTTCTTCCGCCAACAGTGCTTCTGGGCCACAGCATGGAGAGGTGTCTGTCACAGATGGGCAGGAAAGAAAAAGCAGGTTTTCCCAGATGATGCGTTTGCTTGAATCTCCAAACATACATACCTGTGAGAATGCTTAATTCTAGTTACACTAAAGAACAAATGGAGTGCACTTGCCAAGATTTGCCTAAGCATGAGCAAGGAGAAAGGAAACTGCCTTGCTCAGCAAGTTGCTTGAAAGCCAGGGCTTCTGTGGTAGCCATTGAGGATCTCTAGCCTTTCCTACTCCTGAATTCAAGGACTGAATGCAATCATTTGCTTTAGTCTTTGGTGTCAGAAAGCCAAAGCATTCTATTTTTTCATTTGTTTGATTTTTGTCTTTGTATGATGTCCGTGAAGAACAATATAATCTGAGGAAGGGACCACTGAGTAGTTTTGGAAGCTATGGACCACGTAAAGAAGAGAAAGAAAGAGGAAGCATACGTGAATGTATCATCAATCTTGCTTTGATTACTGTGGGTTTGGTTTTTTTTTTTTTAGTGGTTTGCTTGGGTCAGCACTGATTAAGTTTAAAAGAGTATCTGTTTTTCTGTGGCATCTGCAGTGTCTTGCCCTTTGACTTGTAATTGATGTCTGCACTGCCTTTGTATTTCTGGGTTGTCACCATATGCCCAGGAACTCCCTGGGTAGGTGTGGAGTCTCTGCACAAGGATGGTGTCTGTATCTAAACAGTAATGGCTAGTCTGGACCTATTTACTTTTATTTTTTATGTTTAGCTGACCTCTTTTCAGTTTGCATGCCACAACCTGGCGGTCTATTGCCGTTGAATCCCAGGTTTTACACTCATACCTAAACAAACAAAATAAACCTCAGTGGTGCTGCTGGGTCTGTAACGTGCGTTGCCTCCTCTCTCTCCAGGCTGGAGCTTGCAATCCCGACTAATGGCAAAAGGAGCGATTTCAAAACGTGCTGAGGAT